GACACTTGGCATAACTCATACTTGGACTAGGAAACTCATTTCCATTTTGAGCTTTCTATTTAATAGAAGGACTTTTTAGAAAGGCTTTTTGTATTTTTTTTCTGAGGAAGGGGTATGTGTGTGTGTGTGTGTGTGTGTGTATGAATATGTATGGAGAAGTGCTCGTGTATAGGTGTGTACATAAACACATAACTGAGGCATACTTTTGGTAAAGTCACTGTTACACAGGGTACTGTCAGTTTTGCTCTTCTTTCCCAAAATGCCAGCTGAAGCCATAACAACTTTTACATGATATTGACTAAGAGAATGGATCTCTCTGTCTCAAATTGTGGCTGAAGAGTTCTTAAGCTTTATTTAAGTGTACAGGTTTCTTTGCAAAGAAACGTGAACAATTTCTAAATCTAATGAACGGACAAAACATGAAACTCTCCACAAATGAGCTACCTTTGCAGTTTCTCCCCCATTTTTCTTTTTAAACAGGTGAGAAACCTCATAGGTGTCACTTATGTCCATTCGCATCTGCTTACGAGCGCCATCTGGAAGCCCACATGCGTTCCCATACAGGAGAAAAACCATACAAATGTGAATTATGTTCCTTCCGCTGCAGTGATCGAAGTAACCTGTCCCATCATCGAAGGCGCAAGCATAAAATGGTACCAATTAAAGGCACTAGGTCTTCCTTAAGCAGCAAGAAAATGTGGGGAGTTTTACAGAAGAAAACAAGCAATCTGGGCTATAGCAGAAGAGCACTGATCAACTTAAGTCCACCTTCCATGGTGGTTCAGAAGCCAGACTACCTTAACGACTTTACCCATGAAATCCCAAATATCCAGACCGACTCGTATGAAAGTATGGCAAAAACCGCACCAACGGGTGGCCTGCCAAGGGACCCACAAGAACTCATGGTTGACAACCCTTTAAATCAGCTCTCGACTCTGGCAGGACAGTTGTCCAGTTTACCGCCGGAGAACCAAAACCCCGCCTCCCCCGACGTGGTCCCCTGCCCGGATGAGAAGCCTTTCATGATGCAGCAGCCCTCTGCCCAAGCGGTCGTTGCCGCCGTGTCCGCGAGTATTCCTCAGAGCTCCTCCCCCACGAGCCCTGAGCCTCGGCCGCCCCACAGCCAGAGGAACTACAGTCCGGTGGCAGGTCCGAGCAGCGAACCGAGTGCCCACACCAGTACCCCCAGCCTAGGGAACAGCCAGCCGAGCACTCCGGCTCCCACGCTGCCGGTCCAGGACCCTCAGCTCCTGCACCACTGCCAGCACTGTGATATGTACTTTGCCGACAACATCCTTTACACTATTCATATGGGATGTCATGGGTATGAAAATCCTTTCCAGTGTAACATATGTGGCTGCAAATGTAAAAACAAGTATGATTTTGCCTGTCATTTTGCAAGGGGACAACATAACCAACACTGATTGAAAATAATCACATCATGCTTTCCTTGGTTTTACCTTTGTGTTTTACAGTTTTGTTTATTGTTTTTGTTTTTCTGGGGGTGGGGTCATTCCTAATAAGATGTCTGCTAATTTAAAGTCTATCTACATATTTATAGAATGTAAGTTTGACAGTGGAAACAAAACTTTCTCCTTTTTTTTTCTCCCCATAAAAATCTGGTGAGGGTCACTTATGTATTAGAACAGTTAGACACATTGGGGTCTATTTTCTCGTTTCATTTAGACATTAGAGAATTGGAGTGCAGTCATAATCCTAACAGGTATTCATTTAAATTTCCCATATTTATGGTCCATAAAATCTTCAAAGCTTATTGCTACTCTTGGTATTTCAACATACACATTGCAGCTAGGTAATTTCTGCCATGAATCAGCATGGTAAAATTACCGCCTCTTCCAAAGTCTATTAACAGCTTATTCAGTGTTTTCAGAGAGGAATTGCCTTTAACAACACTCTTAACTGACATGCTGTTTAGTTCACATTGCTGAAGTTGAAGCTGCGCTTTCGTTTCAACTGATAATCACAGAACTACTTTGTGTAGATTTTGTTTTCCATAAGGGGAAATGTAATAGTGCATTCCTTTCAAATTAAAGCTATAAAAACATGAGGTAAAAGTTCTGAAAAGAAATGAAACTTAAATTGAAAATGGGCTTAATATTTAAAATACCTGTTTATTCCATTTCCAGTTTAAACACCTATCTTTTTATGCTGGTTTATTGTAAAAGCCACAGGTAAATACAGGAGAGTGCTAGAAATATAAGAGGATTATCTGTAAAGATGCCTTTTTGTTTCTTTTAATTTGAACCTTTCATTTAAATTCTCCATTCTGACATCATTATTGTCAGGCGAGGTTGATAAGTATACTGAGACTCTGTTATTCCTTCTATTCCTTTGATGACCAAAGAGGTACAGTGGAATTCATCCATCTCACTCCTCGGAAATGCAGTCCTTTACACACATGTACACGCACGCGCGCGCGCACACACACACACACACAGAATCTCTGAAATGTCCATTTCCTGCCCTCTGTCCATTCATCGTCCATAATTTCTGAGAAGAGGTGGTATAGTAACACATGGGAAAATGTGGTGATGAAGTAATACTTAAAAAAATGAGAACGTGTGTGCAGAGCAAATTCCGGTTTTTCCTTCAGAATTGGCCATTTAAAAGATCTGCTGTGAATTCAAGTTGTAATGCTTACGTGCAGGTCCTGCCAGTTTTTCGTGTACAGTGACAAAACTATACGGAGACTGAATCGCCGCCTTAGTAGGAAAGGGTACAAAAAGTAGGAGAATAGAAGATGCAGTTAAATGTGGTATTTGATTTGTTTACAAAAATAAGACTTGCTAAATCTAGAATAATTTTGAACAGGAGGCTATTGTTTTTATATTGTGTAATAACTAGCTTACTCTGAAGAGGGCTTGGTCAAACAATAAAATATATTGTTACTAACTGCTGGTTTCTGTGTACTTTGCAAAAGTTTGATTTTTTAATTTGGTTCAGATCTTACAAAGTGTTACTAATTGGCTTCTTAAGGAGAATATCCTAACTACTGAGCATTTAATAAGCAAAAAAGACCTCAGCTCATCTATAGTAACTAAAAGGGAAACACAGACAGTGAATGTCCCCAGAACCCCCAAGTGCCAACTTAATGAATCTTCTGCCCTCCCTTCCAAATGCTAGAAAGCCAGTAAAAGGAGTTCTTGTGGTTTAATGTCCAATTGAAACTAATCTCAGCAGCACTGTTGAGAGAGCAGCAAGGAGTCTGTCCAAACTGTCAATAACTCTCTTCCTTGTCAGACCTGAGGCTTGTGCCATCTACGATTGTATTTCTCTTGTAGCTTCACTCACTCACCGCTCAGATCCACGTTCATGCAACCATTTCCAAATCTGACTTGGCTCTAGTATTTTTTTATTGCCAGGAGAAACAGGTTGCCGTCATTTGGAAGCTTTTGCAATTCAAACGAAAGCAATACTCTGAGATAGAAAATGAGAGATTTCATTAAAGAAAGAGGAAGGACTCTCTCATTAAAACCAGTTTATTAACTCTATATTCTGGGCCCAATAGTGACAAACACTTTTTTCTGACAACTAAAGATAGATGTTTTGAAGGTACATTTTAATTTAAACAGAGAATATCTTTTTTTTTTCATAATTGTAAACTAGAATTAGAAATCTAATTTTCCTAGGACTTAAAAGAGCACAGTCCGTGTTCCAAAGGCGTCAGTGCTTGAGCGCTACAATTAATTCTAAATGCACTAAAGTTTTTGAATCAAGTCTACCTTAGAAACTTTTTTAGTATTGTATTTTTTAAAAAGATTTAGGATTTTATTTAAATTTTCTGTGAGTTAAATTTTATACATGGAAAGATGATACTATCTTCCATTAAGTGTTGAATATGTTTCTCCCATTTTATTTTTAATCAAATATTTTATAGAAATGAGCTGCTAGGAAAAGTTGAACGTGAACTATTTATAGTACTTTGCTGTGAACAGGCAGTGCTCTGAAACTAAAATTATTTTTGTTCAGTGAACATAAGTTTAGATTTTTAAAGTTCATAGATAATTTATCTCCACTAATATTTTTTTAAGAAACTGTGAAGAGATTAACGGAATAATTTCGTTTCAGATTTTACTAATCTAGTATGTAGCTACAACTTCTTGAAATTCAAGTAAAGGCTAGACTTTTACTTTGAATATTTGCCACTGCTATTTCATTTTAGAAATAAGTGTTTGCCATTTATCTGCAGAATTGTTTGACAAAGGGGATATTCCTTTAAAAATGTTGAGATAAACTTCATTTTAAGTTTTACAAAGATATTTATCAAGTGGATGTATTATTTTTAAAGAAATTCCCTGCTAAGGACTTTTTCATTAAATAATCTTATTAGAGGGATTATGATTTCTACAACTTGTTTTTGTTCATATGTACTTTGATGTAAAGAACATATTTTATATGCAAAACATAAAACCTGAGTATGGTTGCAAAACACTACATTGTTTAGGGATTCCAGAGAGCAGTTTGATGCTGAAATAACCATATCTAGTCTGTAGTTCATATTGTGAATTAAGCTTTGCTTTTGTAATACATGAATAAAAAAATAACACTTCTATTGATCTCGATTTTTCTTCTTTGAAAACTAGGGTCCAGTTAGGTTTTTAGTAATTTTCCCGTATGTAAACTGTTAATTAAAAAAAAGGGGGAGGGGTTTATGGCTACATTGGTTTGAATTTGTAGAATGCCTTACCCATGAGAAGATCTGTCACATGAGTTAAAAACAAAAACAGCTCCATGTATCCACGTCTTATCTTCTTCCTTCTCTGCCTTATTGACGAAGACTCCTGTCCCCACCAGCCCTACCCTAAGGGTTCTGGCACATAAATGAGGAAGCCTGCTGCCGATACTCAATTGTCCACGTCACATCTGACAAGCCACCAACTGAAGTAGTTTCTGTTATGACAAATGGATCTTTAGAATGGACTTTTTTTTTTTTTTTTTTTAAACAAGTCTGGCAATTCACACCACTGGCCTAGAAAATATCCAGTAATGCAAAATGGTTTTATTTTGCAAACTCAACCAAAATCGGATATTTGATTGTAAGTTCAAAAGTTTTAATGCTTTGAAAAATATTTCTGGACAATATTATCTTTCTCATGATGAAAAAAAGCAATAGCATCTGATACATTGGTGGTTTCTGGAAAGCACAGGTACTTTTTGTTTCCTTGTCTTAGGTCTTCCAAAAACTCTGCTTTGAGCTTGTTGAGTTCTTCTGCTAGAAGCTTCAAGTTGAAAGGAAGCACTCGTTCCTCTAAAATGAAAAGACATTCTCAAATTATTTGTATAAACTAAATCAGGCCAGGCTGTCTAACAACATAGGAAATTAATTAGAATACTTCTGACAAACTGATCAGATTTTATTACTCACAGTTGAGCTGGTGTACTATGTAGACAAAAGGTCACACTGATGTGATAACAAATCTTTTAAATAACTTGGTATGAGATGCATGAGCAGAAAAGATAAGCCTGAAGGGGATTTTTTTGTTGTTGTTGACAAGATGGTTGGTTTAGAATGTTCTTGAGCTAACAGGTAGTAAGGCAAAAAAAAAGCAGGAATAGGAAATGACAGTGTGGTTGAAACTGTTGTAAGTAGTCTCTAGAGCAGATGTCCAACATAGAACTTCCTACAATGATGGAAATGTCCCGGATCTGCTCTCTTCAATACAGCAGCCACTAGCCACGTGGGTAATGTGACTGAGGAACTAGATTTTTATATTAAACAGCTTTATTGAAATAAATTTGCATACTATATACCCTTTATTAATTTAGACTCCAATTCAGGGGGCACCTGGGTGGCTCAGTCGGTTGAGTGTCTGACTCCTGGTCTCAGCTCAGGTCATGATCTCGAGGTTCAGGAGATAGAGTCCCACGTTGGGTTCTGTGCCTCTAGATTTCTCCCTTCTGGATCTCTCACATGACTGAGCTCAAGCAACACGCGGACTTCTGTGATGGCTTCTTTCACTTAGTCTAACATTTTCAAGGCTCATCCTGGCTCCGATGAATAATGCTGACGCAAACATTTGTGTTCACATTTTTATGTGAACATACGTTTTCACTTCTCTTTCTTGGCAGTGCAATCGCTGGGTCCCGTGGTGACTACACTTACTCGCTGCAGGAAGTGCTCGGTGGTTTGCCAAAGCAGCTGCACTGCTTCCCATTCCCACCAGCAGCGGACGAGGGTTCGGATTTCCCCACGTGCTCACCGCCTCTTGGACTTTGATTCTGGCTGGCCTAGTGAGTGGGTGCAGTGGCCGCTCGTGGTTTTGGTTTGCATCTCCCTGATGACTAATGATGTCAAGTGTGTCTTCTTGTGGTTGTGGGCCACTTGTGTATCTTCCCTGGGGAAATGTCTATTCAGATCCTTTGCCCGTTTTTAAAACCGGGTTATCTTTATTAATTGAGTGGTGAGAGTCCTTTATCTGTTTTGGATGCAAGTCCCTTATGAGATAGATGATTTGCAAGGATCTTCTCCTGATCTGTGGGTTGTCTTTTCATTTTCTTGGTGGTAGGAGAAATGAATTTCTAATTTCATTTAAGCATAGATCTAGATGCTATGACCACCTCCCTCACCAAAAAAAAAAAAAAAAAGTTTTTTTTTAATGGGTGGGAAATAAGTCCAGAGTGATTTGAGCGTAATCCTATCTCCTCCGCTTCTCTTCATTTTATACAGAAGACAAGGCAGGCAAATGATTGAGCCCCAGCTCCTGCAACTATTTCCAACTATTTTTGTTTTTATTCTAATTATGCTGCTGTTTCTGTTCCAGGCCCGTGTTTTTCAAACTCTGGATTATAACCTACAAGTGAGATGCAGGTTGCAAGCTGTGTTTATCTAAAATGGAATCAAAAAGATCATAGAAGAGCTCACCAAACGTGAGGGTTCTGTGAAACTTGTTGCTATGCACGTGTGTGTTCGTGTACCGAGCTACAGTCTCGGGTACAAGATAAAATCTGCTTCTGGATCGTGGTTAAAAAAAAAAAAAAGTATGAAATACACCATCTGGTTAGTGTATTGTTTCTTTTTCCAAGAAACTGTTGTAAAGGTGTTAATAATAGATGCCGATGATGCAGGGAGTGTAACAGAAAACATAAACTAGAGTCAGACTTGACTCTGAACCCAGGTTGTCCACGTATCTAGTAGCTGTTCAGCCTTGGGTAAGTTACTTGATCCTCTCAGAACCTTCATTTCCCCATTTATAAAATTACACCTACCTCATGAGGCTGTCAAGACTGGAAACAGTATGTATAAGGCACTTAGCATGTAAAAGCTAAAGAAACGGTAGGCTATTAGTTTTTAAGTCAGATTTTAAATATAGTGTAGAGTTCAATATTTAAAAGCGAAAGGAGTAATTTTTTTTAATATTCATTTATTTTGAGACACAGAGAACGAGAGAGGGGAAGGACAGAGAGAGAGGGAAAGAGAATCCCAAGCAGGCTTTGCACCGTCATCACAGAGCCTGACACGCGTCTTGATCCCATGAATCATGAGATCATGACCCGAGCCAAAATCAAGAGTTGGACGCTTAACCAACCGAGCCACCCAGGCACCCCTAAAGGAGTTCTTTTATAAAACGACCACACATGCCATCTAAGTTCAGACTGACAATCCACTGAGCTTGCTGACTGGACATGTGGCCCCTGACCACCTCTCCCCATTCCTTATTTCACCCGATTCAGTGGCCTCTTTTCTGCTCTAAGACCTACCAAATAACTTCACCTCGGGGTTTCTGCACCTGTGTCCACTGCGTGGAATGATCTATCTCCAGATATCTGCATGCTGACTCTTTCTGTTATTCATATCTCTGCTTAAATATCACCTCTGAGAAGCCTTCCTGATTACCCTTTAAAAGAAGCTCTCCTGGGTGCCTGGGCGGCTCAGTCGGTTGAGCATCCAACTTCAGCTCAGGTCATGATCTCGCGGTTTGTGAGTTCGAGCCCCACGTCGGGCTCTGTGCTGACAGCTCAGAGCCTGGAGCCTGCTTCGGATTCTGTGTCTCCCTCTCTCTCCCCCTCCCCAGCTCATGCTCTGTCTCTCTCTGTCTCAAAAATAAAAACAAAACAAAAAAACATTAAAAAACAGTTTTTAAAAGAAGCTCTCCCATCACCCTCCACTGCCTTACCCTACTTTATTTTTCTTCAGGGCACCAGCAGAGACTCATGTATTTATCTGTCTGTCTCCTCAAAGTAATGTTCTGCTCCCTGCTGACACCCCAGTATCTAGAATAAAGCCTACTACAGAGTAACCACTCAATAAAAATGTATTGTATGGATGAATACCCTGTTCTGGGGGTAGAATTTTTAGTTTTCTATAATCCAGTTGCATGGTGAAACTAAAAACGATGTCAACGTTGTGACAGAAAGCTAACCAACTACCCAAGGGAACAAGAACAGCGGGAGAGTTGTATCAACTAAACCCCACACAACTGCTCAACATACCTTTTGCTTCCTTCATCGTCTGAGAGACAATCCTTCGGAGCATCTGATCGGCTTGATGAAGAAGGTTGGTTGAACAAATGATTCTGTCTGCTTCCTATGCAACACAGACATCGTTACTGGAAGTTAGGTAGTTTTATAAAAGAGGTGGCTAAACTGTGATGTGTTTCTGATGAGACTACAAGGAAAGTTACGGTGGCTTTTCTGTTCCAGCTGTCCCTCCCGAGATCCCATCTAGATGACGGGGGCTGACAATCTGTCCAATAATGGGCTCTCCATCTACAGCGTTTGTCACTATGTGCGGTGCAAGTGCTCCTGTCCTTGTCCGTCTCAAGCTACCAACACCAACATATGTTAACAGGCTCTAATATTTCGGAAAATGTGACAGTCGGCTTTGACCAGCTGCTGCACGTGGCCACCAGGATGCCACTGCACGTGGCCACCAGGATGCCACTGCAGCCAGTTGTCATAAGTAGAGAGTGCTGCTGAGATGCCAAGGCGGTGACAAAGGCATTTTTCACATTTTACTCATATTCTTTTTTACATTCAGCTCAGAAAGACCTTCCTTCAAACAGTTGTACCTTGCCATTTATACCACATCTATACTGGAAGATTTACCTTTTGTTCCACATTGTCCTCAATATATTTTACTGGATTTTCCAAAGCAGTAAGCAATAAATCAGTCAACTTCAGGCTAGAAGAGAAGGTGAGATAAAATGAATCCTTCTATCAAACATCTTTTTTAAAAAGAACCTGTGTTTATGAATACTGAATTGAATTCTAGAGGAATAAACATGCTATAATCCAAAGGATCCTAAGCCAAAGGAGTAAAAATTGAAAAGATTTGGAAGCTACCTTCTACTTACAAAATCCAAATGGAGAAGCTGAAAACAAATTATAAGGCAAAAGAATCCCCTTATTTAAAAAAATACTAATTTTCTAAGACTCATTTCAATAAGCTTTGAAGAGAAATTCTCTCTTTTCCCTCATTAAAGTGCTACTAGAACTCTACTTTATTTCCTCAAGAAGGGACTTCTTTCTGGCTTCTTATTTACTGGACGGGGATTAGCAAAGTTCCTCGCTGGTCAAGGGGCCATGGAGGGTTCAGGTAGAATCCATTCATTTACTACTATGTATGTGAAACTGTGTGCTATAAGTTGGGGTACAGCAAGATCCCTACACTTTCTAAGTCCAGCAGTGGTTACATCATGTCCATTAGGAGACAGATAATTAAATCAGCAAAAATGTATAATTTCAGACAGTGACAAGTGGATAAGTGAAAACAAAGTGAATTTTAAAAATTAGCCATTTAAAAACTGCTGGTCCCCTGTGGACAACAGTTAGGCAGGAGCTAAGAAAATGAGAGCAAAATAGCCCTAGAACTGTGCTGTCTGAGAAAATAGCCACTAGCCACATGAGGCTATTTAAGTTTACAGTAATTAAAATAAAATTTAAAATTCAGGCCGCCAGATGCACCGGCTATATTTCAAGTGCTCAAGAGGCACATGTGGCCAGCAGCTACTACACTGGACAGTACAAATGTAGTACATTTCCATCTGCGAAAATTCCATTCGAAATGTGCGGCTGTAGAACTCTCAAGACATCTATCACAAATGAAAGCATTAGCACCGCAGCCCACAGGCATCACATATACGCGGTAGTGTAACTGCAGGGGGGTCTGAGGCAAAATTAGGACTCCAGACCACTTCCACTCTCTTTCTTTCTGTGAGAAAATTACTGGGCAACCTATTTAGACTGTGCTACTGTGGCAAGAGTTTCAAAGATGTGTCCAACTCTGCATTCCCTGCTCTGATCTCTGGGAGAACATAGTCTTTTTTTTTTTTTTTAAGTTTATTTATGTATCTTGAGAGAGAGAGAGAGAGAGAGAGAGAGAATCTCAAGCAGGCTCTGCACTGTCAGCACAGAGCCCGATGTTGGGGCTGGAACTCCCAAGCTGTGAGATCCTGAAACCAAGGGTCAGATGCTTAACCAGACTGAGCCACCCAGGCGCCCCTGGGAGAACATAGTCTTAACAAGAGCACATGTGCGCCAGCAAACTTGGGTTCACATCTGAGCTACCACGAGCTCGGGGACTCTGGGCAAACTAACTTTCTCACTCAGTTGCCTCTTCTCTAGAGAGGAGAGAGAGCAATCTCCATGTTTGTGTAAAGGTTAACCGAGTGGACCTGGGTAAAGCCAAGGGCACAGTGCTCCCTCAGGGAGGCACCCAGCTAAGGTCAGCTTTGCGTAGGATACCTGGCTTCAGAAGAACATTCTGAACTCTCAATTGTGAGGCTGTTGTGTTCCCAAGCATTTTTCTCGGGGTTGGGCTTTTCCAGCTTTCTTCCCATCAGGTGGATGGTCTCGGCAGGCAGCGCCTGGGGTCTCTGGCCATTCCTCTGTAAACAGGTCTCCAGAGAACAATCTAAAAAGAGCTGGCAAAAGCCTAATGAATCTGAAAGCAATGTGAAACCATGAAATCAGTGGTGCACTATTTTTTCCAAAATGCAAAATAAACAAATCAGGCAAATTATCACAGCTGTGGCAGGAAAATACTGAACATCTAGCTTTGAAAATTAAGTAAATCTATACTAACTTCCTGATCCAATTCAATTCTCACTAAAAGCAGTCGTGATTTTGATATGCAAACAAGTGTCTGTGTGTAAGAAAAAAAAATGTTTTAATTACATTTCCGAGCCAATTGGTAGACTTCGTATCTCATACTTTGATAATAAAAGTTGTCATCTAAAATCAAAAACAAAGGTCTAGAAACAGCAGTCTTCGTTAAGAGATAGCAAGACCGGGCCTCCGGTGCAGCAGAAGATATCAGATCTTGATCCTTTAAGCAGGTTATAAAATCCTCCCACATGGCTTCAGTCCTGTTGGGTGGGGTAGACATCTGACACCCGTTAATGACAGCCAACAAGAAGTATTCTAGGTACTTCAACAGTTCCTGTCGAAGCAACTTCCATTGGGATGGCTACAAAAGAGGGAAAAAATCACAATTTATATTGGGCTTTGGTCAATAGGGTGCTCCTGCTTATAGCCTTCCACCCCACGTGAACATCTCAGCTCACAGAGCCAAACCGTGTGGAATTCTCTGAGCACAACTTGTTTCACCTTGCCTCCTATGTCTTCCGATATCCTGTTTCCTCTGCCCAGAAACCCCTACTCCCTGAGGATAGTCCTCTGAAGTCTCCACAGACACATCCACGCAGGAGGCAGCTCAGACCCTCCCTTGCCTACATGACATCCTGCTTTGCACAGACGGGGTCTCCACCCTAATGGGGCTTACACTATTTAGGCATTTGCACATCTCTAACTCTCTGCTCAATCAATAGTCCATGGTCTAACTGGCCTCCAGCAGACGGTCAGGCACGTAAGAGGTGCTCCAGTACAGAAAATGACTGAATGAGTAAATAAATGGAAGAATGAAAAGCTGTTACCATCCAAGAGAAATGAGCCAAAATCAATATCCTGACAATATAAAATTGGCTTAGACAAAGCAACGCTGGTTTGCCCTTGAGATGAGAAAAGCTGTGGACAGAAAAGATCTGCCGAAAGGCGCCTGGGGTCAGGGTGAAAAGCCTTGAGGCTCACAACAGAGTTGGAATGGGATGGGGAAAGCTAGACTGAAGGGAAGAGAATAAGTAACTTGAGAACATAGGTAATCTTGTGCCATTCAAGGACTGTGGCGAGCAGGTCCAGTCTGGAGAGAAAACATAGGAACAGGAGATAAGGGTCCCTCTCCTGCCTGTCCATGCCTTACCACATCACTGACATTATAGCACATACAACACATACATCAGCTAAACCTACGGAGAAGGAAAACACGATCACTTCCTAAAAGGTGAAATTTCCTACTCATGGTGACTAGTTGAGTCCCACAGTCTCCGTCTACAGGGAGGAGTGGAAATACTGTAACAATAAAAGTGAGGAAATGGCCCAGTAAATACAACCATACATCTCACCAACTTTCAGCTTTCACTCAAGTGGCGAAAATACTATCATCCAACTAAATCTAGTGCTACCAGGGACTTGATACTGTAGTCATCTCACAATTAGAACAAGAACGGGACAGAATACATACAGTTGCCAGCCACCGAACGTACTATAATTTTACATATAGAGAGAGTGGAATCACATCATATTCGTATTTTATTTAGATGCCTCCACCTACACACAGGTACTGAACGACAAATCTATCTCAATTTTTCAGAATCTGTCAAAGAGTATTTAGGGGGAGAACGAGATGGGAGATATGAATCCACTCTTCCCCAGAGGTCGCGCTTTTCTTGTGCTTCTCCAAGGGGATGCATCTCGCTGCACAGAGTGTGATTTGAAGGCTTAAAGAGAATCTATAAGTACCTATATGTAAGTAGGTGCCTAAACACAAGCCCATTACTTCATCTGGTGGTCACCTGAGAAACAGCCGTCTTTTCCTAATGCTGGCAGAGGCAGATTTACCCGGAAATGAGTGAAGAGAGAGCTTCAGACACCAGCCCCTTCATTTGTACAGCTTTCTATTGTCATGGGAGGGAACCTACTAATTTTGTTATTCATAATTTTGTATCCTTTATCTTAAAAAAAAACAAAAAAACAAAACTCCCCAACTGTGTAAACTTGAAGACCCACAAGGATTCACCGGTGGCTGGACGTTAAACTGGCTGTGGTTTTTAAGAGATTCTGTCCCTCTCCTAAGTACGATCTTCCTAAAGGACTTTTCAAAAGCATACTTGTCTATGGGGGTGGGGGGTGGGGGTGGGGTGGGGGGTGGGGGGGGCGGAAGGGTACCATCCTGCACGCCGACAAAACCTAACGCCGTCTTAAGACTCACTGTATGCAATACACAAACCGTACAGGCCCCAAATATACACATAAATCTCTGCGACGAATCCTTCTAAGACGGAGTCGACACATTCTACGTTAAACCAACTCCACTTCTCTCGAACTCCAGTCTCCCCCGCTCCGTCAGGGCCGCACCTCCCACACAAGGGGCAGTCCAGCATTTAGGTGGAACCCCTCTATGTCCTTCTGCGACCACAGGCTAGGCCCCGCCCCCTCCGTACTCACCAACGGCCGCGCGCTCGCCTCCTCGAGGAACGCGTCCGGCATGACGTCATCATAGGCGACCACGCCGACGGCCCAGCCCCGCTCCTGCCGTAAGCGGGGGCTTAGGGCCCGCGCGAAGGTCGATTTTCCTGCCGCGGGCAGGCCGCAGAGGAGGCAGAGGCCTAGCTTCCGCGGCCCCTCGCCATGCACTCCTCTGGCGTCCTCGGCGGTCTTCATGCTGTCGCGGGAGACGGGAGGCGGCTGGGGACGTCGTCTCCGGAACCGGCCGCGCAGCGCGCACGCGCAGTCTCCCACAGCCCTGCCGCGCCGCGCCGCCTGGGGCCGGGAGGGGGCACCCGGCGGGTCTTCCAATCCTGGCCCCGTGCGCGGCCCGCCTGTTTGCGAGGGCTCCCGTTTGTGAGGCGAGTCCTCTGGGCTCGGCGGGCCGCGGTGATGCGTTTCCTAACCTCCGGCCATTTTCCAAAGGGTCAGAGAGGTGGCCTCAGTGTTCAGTTAGATTTGTCCTCCCCGCTGGAAACTTGCAAGCCACTAGGAATTGCGACTCGGTCTTGCTACGACCAAGTACCCGGCCCTGGAAGATCCCGGAAGAAGCTTTCGGCGTCTCTCTCCAGCGGTCTTTGAAAGGTCAAGTGCTGGAGGTCAGCATAGCAGGCGAAGCTGACAGTCCCACGGCCGCGCTCCTCTGCCCCTCCTAAATGTGACAGGTGGCAGGGCAAAATAGTTACTGTGCCCTGAGTTACAGCAAGTGTGAGGAAGTGGAGGCCGGATAGAACATCCCTAGACCTCAGTTCCAATGCTTTCATGCAGAGGACAGTAGGTATTTTCGTGTTCAAATACTAAGCTGTGGAGAGGTATAAGACAAACTCCCTGTGTGCAGATGTAGTGTAGAGAAGTTGAATTCGGATTCTAACTTACACCTTATTTTAAAGGGGATTACTTCTTAGTCGTAAAGTGGTATGTTCAAAATGTGAACAAGTGAGGTTAGAATCCACATACAGGGGCAAAATACAATCGGTAACCCAATGTTAAATCTGGTATAAATTGACACGGCACGTGTATGTACATTTTCTTTTTTCTTTTGAAGCTGAGCCACGAGTTAAACATACTCTTAATTTCATGACATTTTGCCATTGGTCCAGTGCAAGAATGAGGAAGGAATATGATGACAGTGGGGCAGCAAGCCCAAGGTCCCCAACCGAAAGGCAGTATGGCAGTGGTTGCTGAGTTGCAGACTGCCCCAAACTCAAATATATGGTGTCAGCAATGAAGATACAGAACTTTGAGCAGAAATTTAGAAGTTCATTTATTCAGCCTAAGCAGGTAGCTGCTTGGAACTTAAAAAGTCTTGCTTAGTGACATTGGGTGTCTCTGCCCTTTAGTGCCCTCCCCTTGAACCTCCTTTCCCCTTCCCTCCCATGTCCGTTGATTTAAGGATGAAGCTGAGGGGCGCCTGGGTGGCTCAGTCCTTTATGCGTCTGACTTCAGCTCAGATCATGATCTGACAGCTTGTGAGTTCAAGCCCTGCATCAGGGTCTGTGCTGACAGCTCAGAGCCTGGAGCCTGCTTCTGATTCTGTGTCTCCCTCTTTCTCTTCCCTTTCCGCACTCACATGCTCTCAAAAGTAAAAACATTAAAAACAAAACAAAAAACAAACAAACAAACAAAAGGATAAAGCTGAGTATGCTAAGAACTTAGGGGAGGGAAAGGACCCAAACTTTCATTGCTCTGTTGGATTCTAGTACCCATAATCAGACTGATCTATTTTTGGTGTCATTGCAATAATCACAGTGACCAAAAAGCAAGCCCATCCTCGAGAGACATTTGTGGCCCTTTTGACTCATATACAAACACATAATCTGAAGGGGCACAGGTCACTCTTGGTTAGGATTTGTTCAAATTGACTTAAATCGCTCTTAAGTTGATTGCCACACGGGCATTGTCACTAAGTGCACCCCAATTATCATCCTTCTGTCCGTTCTGATCCTCTCAGAAGCAAGGGGGTGGGTCAGTAACCCTTCCTGCTGGAGCAGTCACTCTGCTCTGAACTTGTAGTGAGGCTGCTTGACAGACCTAACCTTGCTAGTTCTGATCTCTCAGTTCTGCCCCTCAGAGCTGCAGGCACTCCCCGACTCTTGCCTGGCCAAGGTCTCCTGACTACCACGTGGGGGGTGCCCAGCTCCGGAATCTGGTTTTTGCCTCGGCTAAGTCTTCCATGTTGGAGGCTGTTCATTCTTCTCACGAGCGCTTCCAGTTCGCTTTGCTTCAGCTGCCCGTTGCAAACATGTTAATTTGTCCTGAAGGGGAAGCTGTATTCGCCTGAGAGCAAGTGAACAGAAAACAGTGTGTGACAGCTCTGGGGTTAAGTTTCCTGATTGTGAGTGAAGGGCTCAAAAGGACACTTCCAAAATCAGAGATTCCACTTTTTTTTTTTTTTTTTACATTTTTATTTATTTTTGAGACAGAGACAGAGCATGAACGGGGGAGGGTCAGAGAGAGAGGGAGACACAGAATCTGAAACGGGCTCCAGGCTCTGAGCTGTCAGCACAGAGCCCGATGCGGGGCTTGAGCTCACGGACTGCGAGATCATGACCCGGGCCGAAGTCAGACGCCCAACTGACTGAGCCACCCAGACGCCCCGAGATTCCACCTTCTGACATCCCCAGTATCTTCAGAAGCAGGTTTTCTCCTCCGGTCACTAACACTGTTTTCTGCCAACTCAGCACTCAAGTTCTTCAGCTGCTAACAAATTGCTAACAATCTAGCTTGCCAAAGCCCAGATTTCCTCAGTCACAGCAATAGTAATATAAAACCTCACTCCTCACCTCTTTTGCTCATTTTTCTCTACTAATTCCCAGAGCTAAGCCTTCTGGAACCCCTACAGATTTTTTACAATCTTTACCTTAACCCAAACATGGCATTGTTCACAACCTCTCCAATTTCTCACTTCTCATTGCTGAGAAGATTAAGACAAGCGAGTCCGTAGCCTGGTAGACATTTAGTAAGTGCTTGTCCCGTTAGCTGCCATCTCCTCATGGGCCTGTGAAAACGAACTTCCCTTTCTTTGCTCTCCAGTGAGGTATTTGTTCATACCCGTTTCAAAAACTCCTGTAAATTTCAGGCTGGCACAAAACTTTGTAAGCTTACTGGTTCCTCTCCGACACTATCAATATCGTATTCAGTTGAATCATCTTCAAGTCACCAATCTTATCTCTTCATTGAGCTTTTAAAAATCCTAACAAAGGTATCTCAAAATGTGAGCCAGATACTGAAATGTTACCAGATCTTGAAGTAATTTTACAATATGTAGTGTTTTTCTGATTTCTCAAAGACTGCTCTGCCCCTGGTAGTGTGAGAGAGTCAATCATTCTACTGTGCTGACAGTGGGTACTCCGTGCCAGAAAAGAACCAGCAGTGTCTGAGGAAAGATCACAGGTACGAGAAGCAGTTCTGCTAAGATAATGGAGGATCTGGATGTTGTCAACCTCTAGTTCATAGGAGCAGTGATGCTACACATTTCAATTTCTTGGTTTCTTAAACTTTCTAAACAACTCTTTTGGAAGAAAACAATTCCTAGAGATTTCTAATGGGCTTTCTTACTGTTTCCTTCCTACCATTGTTCTATGCTTAAAATAGTTACAAAGATGTTTAAAACAAACTCAACAGTCTAGTGAGCCATGTATTTTAACACTGAAAGTTATTCACTCAATGTTCACTTGGTACTTGTGTATCAGATACTGTGTTAAATATTAGATATCTGCACATAAATAAAGACCTCCCCTGCTGTTAAAAAAAAAGCTAATTATTTGAGGAAAGTGAGAAAAGTAAAATGTCCACAGCATGTAGAGATAAATATAACTACCAATTAAGAAAATGTACCTTGGCTGTTCATATGTATTGTATACAAAAATACAGCTATCAAAGGTAAAACTCCTACAAGGATTTTATAGTTTCCCTTTTTCCTGAAGTCCAATATTATAACTTATCCCTGTGTGTGGGGGGGAACATTAATAAACATACTTCAAAATTCTGTAATTATGCATAAAGATGGGTACTTTTTTAGGAAGCACACAATATTCAAAGTGAGTTGTGAGCATATTACGTAGAATATTTGATGGGTTACTTCTTCAGAAAGCACAAGTGTCACAAAAACACAACAAAAGTCACAAAATACATCCTACAACTCATTTAGCTCAGATGCTACTTTCCTGCATTATGAACTTATCAAAAGAAGAGTTGGTTCACCCAGATCTTAAAATTCTAGGTGAACAACCTCAGTCACTGCCGAGTTCCCAAGAATGCAGGATAAGACAATCGCATGAAATGGGTCCATTACGAAAGTTCATTTTAAGCCAGGTATTCTGAAGCTGGAGTAGATTTTTCCATAGATACCATGCTACTCATGCTGGTTACCTTTTCAATCTAGTCTTTTTACTGAATTCATTCACATTAGTGTATACGGCTGTAGATACAAGCAGAACAAATTGTTAATTTTTTTAAGTTACAAAAGTAAAACATGCAAACAAAACCTCTTTGCAGTTTTCAGTAATTTAAGGGTATAAAGGGGTCCTAAATCAGTGTCTAAGAATCTGTTGTAAGGCACACACAGCAACAAGACACAGTTATGTGACTCCTACCTACCTCACCCCTAACACCTCTATTTGTATTTTCAAATATTTTCCCCTAACTTTATTTTAAAATTATTCTCTTTACTAAGACTCTAGGATAGTGATGCGTGGGTAGAGGTAGGGAAGCAAGAATATCATTTAACAGTAGCTTGGGGTTCTTTTTAGAAACCATACACACTATCTCCTAATAAAACTACTATTTTCCCCATTTAGAATTTAAATGCTGTTACTAATGGAAGAATGTCCAATTCTTTTTTTAAAAAAATATTTTATTTATTTTTAAGACAGAGAGAGACAGAGCATGAGTGGGGATGGGGCAGAGAGAGAGGGAGACACAGAATCTGAAGCAGGCTCCAGGCTCTGAGCTGTCAGCACAGAGCCCGACGCGGGGCTTGAACTCACAAACTGTGAGATCGTGACCTGAGCTGAAGTCGGACGCTCAACCGACTGAGCCACCCAGGCGCCCCTGTCCAATTCTTGACATATACTGATGACCACAACTGTGCTGTAGTCCCCAAGACAATCCTCGGGCTCAATGATTTGTTAGGACTCAGAAAAGCTGTTATACCCATGGTTACGAATCTAACATGGCTATGAGATATAACCATGTCTTGTTCCTGTGTGTGCCTTATAACAGATTCTTAAACATGAAAGGATGCAGATTAAAACTAGTAAAGCAAAGGCACATAAGGTAGAATCCAGGTGAGACCAGGTGCAAGCTTCCAGTTGTCTTCTCGCATGTAACGACAGCACTTAATTCTCCCAGCAATGATGTGCGACATCATGTGCAGGGTGTTGCCAACCAAGGAAGCTCCTCCGAGTCTTGGTGTCTAAGGTTTTTATTGGGGGTCAGTCAGGTAGGCATATAGCACCCATGCGCTGACGTTAGTTACTCAGTCTTCAGCCCTTTCAAGGGTCAAACTGATAGAATGTGGCCCCTCACCATAAATCCAATTGTTAGCGTAACCTCAAGATGGTGGGGTCTAAGGCCCCTAGTTAAAAGACAATTTTATCAAGCAGGATATGCCAACAGCTTAGAGGGTATTTCCAGGAGCTGGGTAAGAGC